TTGTGATAGTAACTCCTACCTTCCAGAAGCATGTTGAAAACCTAGAGGAGGTGTTTAAGCGACTGCGTCAAGCTAACCTCACGGTAGGCAGAGGAAAGGGCTAGTTTTGTAGGCCGCAAATGAAATACCTTGGCTATGTTGCTGACAGAAATCGATTATATATGGGTTCCGATGAGGTAAAGGCCATGTTAGAGGTCCCGGCCCCACGGAATGTGACCGAAGTGAGGCGTATTGTGGGCACATTTTATTTAAGCTTTGCTGCGTAAATCTAGAAAGTTTGAATGGACTTCAGCGTGTGAGGCAGCATTTAGGAAAATAGAAGAATGTCTGGTTGCAGCATCTGTGCTGAGTTGCCCTGACTACTCGCTACCTTTCGTGGTGCAGTGTGATAGCTCTTGATATGGGACAGAGCAGCTGGATAGCATAGAGCGGGTCATAAGCTATCTGAGTCACAGTTTGACGAAACAGGAGCAGAACTACTCAACCACCGCAATAGAATAACTTGCACTACAGCTGCGTCCATATCTCGACATGGTGCCTTTCTCTGTCATAACGGATCACTATCTTTTGGTCTGGCTGTAGAAGATGCAACAGCCTACTAGAAGACTGGCGGAATGGCCGGTGCAGCTACAGCAAGATGATTTTAAGCTTATCCACTGGAAAGGAAAGGAGCACGTCCCGGATATGCTCTCTAGGGCTGTCCCTAAATTGGATGCTGTAGAAATGGATTTGTCGACGTCAAGAGACAGGTGGTACCTAAAAATGGAAGAATGCGTTAAATCTAATCCTTTAAAATTTTCCAGATGAAGGATAAGTACTACTGGGCTGTTCAAATTTGTTAAATGCGACTTGAGTTGAAGCCTGAGGTGGACAATTGGAAGGAGGTGGTTCCAAAAGAGGAAAAGAAAAGAATAATACAAGAAGCTCATGATCCGCCCACGTAGGACATATGGGGGTTTATAAAACCTATTCCCGAATCGCAGTACTCTACTATTGGCCCAAGATGAGGAACGATATAACCAGATATGTCAGTCGCTGTGAGATTTGTGTTCGGCATAAGGCACAGGCTGCACCGCCAAATGCGAAAATGGTCACACACTACAAACCTCAGCGACCATGGGAGGTCATTTCTACTGACCTTATGGGACCTCTACCTAGATCAAGGCAAGGGCATACCTTTCTGCTGGTGGTAATTGATTATCACAGAAAATTCTCACTTTTTCATCCTCTTCGCAAGGCCATCTTCGAGGCTGTTGCTCGTTTTATTGAACAAAGTGTATTTCTGTTTTGTGTGATAATGACCGCAATATCGTGGGAGACCTTTCCTGAAACTGGCCGATAGATAGAAAGTCAGAGTGAAGTTTAATGTGAACTCCCATCCACGGGCTAATCTAACTGAAAGGGTGAATCGTACTCTGAAGACTAAGTATGTATATCTCAGATAATCACCGTGATTGGGATGTAAACTTAGATAGAATAGCTTGTGCCCTTCGCACATCTGCCCATAACACTACCAAACTCACCCCATACTTTGTTAGTTTTGGGAGATAAATGGTTTTGTTTGGAGACGATTACAGAAAAACAAATAAAAAGTTCCAGAGGTATACGAGCCGTTGGGAATTCTAAGGGAATATGGAATACTAAGGACTTGAAGGATCCTGTGGGTTTGGATAAATAGTTGTTATTATAGTGACTTGTTTGTATGGATTATGGACTTGAATATATGTTGTGTAATGTGAGTTTTGTGGAAAAAAATAAAATAAAATTATGTACACAAGTTTATTATTATTATTATTTTTTTTTTGACGGAACAGACGTCCCACGTTGGGCGCCAAAATGTTACACTTGAACTTCCTTGAAACCTAGGAAGAAGTGCCAAGGGAAGTCAGACCGAAAAAAAAAACAAAATAAACAAAACCCTTAAGCTGCGTTCTGCGCAACAAATGCTCGCCACTGCTCGTCGACGTGGGAGTGGGATCAAATTGTCCAGGGCGCCACTAGTTTGAAACAATTCCCGCAAACCCAAACTAGCAGGTGCACGATGTCCTGGAAGGACCCCCCTTAAGGGTTTTTTTTTCTGTAAAAGCTCTAAATTCCGAAATAGGTTTGGTTGAGGTACGCCAAAGCAATAAAAATCCGAAAATTCTTTCTCTTACTATCACAATATTTTATTTGTTAATGAATTGAATAATGAAAAGGTAAACTGCATCTTACCCATTTAGAACCGGCAGGAGCCTAAATCGTCAGATCATTGTTACCCTTAATAGATGAAAGAGAAGGAAAAAACTGATAATAAAAAAAAAGGATTACTAAAACTAAAATTAACCACTTAGCTCTCCATCAGCATCATGGCCTCCAGGCTAACCTGGAAAAATCATGTCAACAAGGTCGTCCAGAAGGCCACTGCTAACCTGTAGGCCTGCAGAAGATCCATCGGACTCACCAAGACCTTACACACACATAGTCCACCGGCTTTACACAGGAGTGATAAGGCCTATGATTACGTACGGCAGCTTAGTTCGGTGGAACGCGCTTAGCAAGTGCACCTTTAGGGCAAAACTTGACAATTTCCAACGACTTACCAGCATGGGAATAATTGCAGCCTTTGGAACCACCCCAACGCTAGCAATGGAGACCATACTGGGAATATTGCCTTTCCATCTCTTTTTTGAAACACGGTCCCGGGAGGCTTCTGTCAGACTCAACGATTGGGTATAATGGGTTCACAGAGGACTGAATATGGGACATGCAAGGGCCCGGAATCACACCAACAGACTGGACCCGCTTCTTACCAGAAGGGATGCAATGCCAAAAACTTCAGCCCTATCTAGACTTTATAAGGTTTCTGCAAGGGACGACAGGCTGGAGCCTGACCCAGGTTTCCTCAAGCCGAATGGGCTCTTCTGGTGCACAGAGGGGTTTATGATGGGGAAGGGCGCAGGGGCTGGTCTATAGGGGGAGAGAACTGTGGCGAAAGTTAGTCTTGCACTTGGTCGATACCCATTGGTATAACAGATTGAGATCCAGGCCATATAGGTTTGTGCTCAGGAGAATCTCTAGAAACGTTACTCGGGCAAGGCAAGCATATTTATATATGTAGCGACAGTCAGGCAGCACTCCGAGCCCTTTGCTCAGACAAGGTCAACTCGATGCTCACGTCTGACTGAATGTCAACTCTTAAACTACTCAGTGGGCTCCGTCCCGTGTCTCAGGGGCATGAAAGGCAACGAAGATTCAGACCAGCTGGCTCCTGAAGATAGCAAAACTGCCTTTATTGGGCCCGAGCCTGATCTTGAAGTTGTTTCCTGCCTGGTGGAAACCACGATCAGGAACTGGTCCAACAACCGGTTCCAAGATGGATTGCTATATCAGGGAGACCACAGACAGTCAATTCAATGATCTTTATACAAGTTGCTTCAAACTGAAAAGAGGCAAAAAGCTTCCTAAAACTAAACAGGAGCCATCACAGGCGTCCTGGCAGGGCACTGAGTGGTCAGATACCACCTGCACAAAATCGGACTTAGTAATGAGATGGGCTGCAGGTTCTACAGCAAAGTAGATGAAACTACTAAGCATATAATTTGCGAATGCGACGCCCTCGTCAGTCGCAGACTACGATACTTCGGGTACCTCATGAAACCTGATGAAATAAAGCATGTCCGGTCTGAGCGGGTCTGCACCTTTCTTAAAAGTTGCGGGCTCCGCGGACACATGCGCGTCTACGTGCTGCCTGTAGAGGCTCCCCTTTCAAATCAATCAAATCAGTCAATAAATAGTTGGACTTCAATCTCAAGATTCTATCTCAGTTGTGTCTGTAAAATATCTATCTTTATCTTTATGTTTTGATGTACTGGTGTTCCTCTTTCTTCTCAGTTTTGTCTGAATTTGCCACGCAGAATAGTCGATGGTGTTCTGTTTCTGGATCCTTTGTTTCCATTTGGGCTCCTGATTCTTTGCAGGGCACTTCTAGTTGTTGATTTGGTGGAATTTTATTTCTCTCGAATCTGCGAGTTTTATAATTCTTCCTCAGTCTTCAACTTTTCCTATCTTCTTCAATAGTTTTCCATCTGATATTCTTGCCGCTTGCCTGACTATTGTAATTTCGGGGTGGGGCTCCAAGGTATTAGACTGTAAGTTTTCCACAGAGAATTTCAGTTTGTTGGTTTTGTAAACTCCTACTTTTTCTTTTGAAGCTATTCCAGCTGATCATTGGCTTCTGTGCTCTCATTTTGTCGGAAGCCTGCTTCAATAGTAAGTGTGATGAGTTGTGGTCCGCAGTGTCTTTTATTATTATTTCTATATGAAAGATGAAATTCGTTTGCGACACAGGTTAAATTCAAGAAATAACGTATGTTTCCAAATTATCAGTTTTCCAATTTCCGATACACTTTTATTTATTTGAAAATATTGCTGCCTGCTAAAGTTTCTACTTTGCAAAACTTCGTGATTCGGAGACAATAAATACGAAATGATGTGCGATTTAAAACGAACCAGGAAACTTGCCTGTAAGCACTTTATTTGATGTATTATGCACATGCGAATCAATCGAAATAAAACCACAGACATCGGCTGAAAGAATATACCCGGAATATTTTATAAACTTTGTGCAGTTGGAATAATTTTGGGTTCAAAAATGAATTAAACTGATTTGCTTAATTTATTATTATTTTAAAAATTATTGGTCCTTGGAGTAATATTGCTCCACCTGCTCTGACAAAACTAACAGCAGTGACAATGTTACATCATATACATTTTTTCAGGAAAATCTTCCTCTAGGGTTTAAACAAAACAACGCTGCGAACCAACCCTTCCGCCAAGCGGGCAATTTCCCAAATGATTCTGCCGCGCAACTTCTGGCACGAATATTGCTTACATAATCCATTTTATAAAACTGCCGGTGTGTGTTGGCTGGTATACGCAGTTATCCATCCACAAACACACACACTCGCTCTCATGCCGCCTAGTCTTTTATTCATGGCTCATGCTCATACTTTTTTCAGGTGGCGAGGCCGGAGCCAGAGGACTCAATCTTCTGATTAGGGCAGACGGGAGAACCATTAATCTTGGACCGAAAACGGCCATAGCCGTACAGCCAGGGGTGAGTTTCCTGTATTTTTTTTTGTGTTTGTTTTGTTTTGTGTTTGAAATTCTTAAAATGAAAAATACAAAGTGAACAGATATTGGATATTAGTCTAATAGCAATGGAGATACACAGAATAATGTAAATAATGGCATTAAAATCGAAAAACTCACAAGTATCTGTTTTTATATATGTAGCTGATTTATTGGAATTGACTATTTTTTCTCGTTTTGGTGCGTCCAGAAAAAGTCCAGGTGGTGGCAGATTAGCCCAGATTACGAGACAAACTCATGGTTTCTTGTAATCTGGGCCAGAACCAGAAGATTCCTAAGATTCTGTAGTTAATAGCTCTGTTTCGGCTTCACTCAGAACTAGTTTGGAACCATTCTGTTTGCGCGTTTTCGTTTTTCCAGAATCGTAATGGAAATGTGTTGATAGCGTTTTGGTTAATTTATAACTATTTGAGAACAATTCTGGGATTGTTCTAGAATGGTTCTCTCAGTTCTTGCTTAAAAGAAGAACTGCTTTGGAATTTGGTGGCTCCGAATCGGTTCAGAATTAGTATTAGAATTTTCCTACATTATTTTTGGTACGCAAGCAGTTCTGTGCAATCTCAGAACTATTCCAAATTTCGAACCAAAACAAAGCTACTACCGCCGGATTTTGGAAGATTCTGGGAAAATTGTGATCAGCTTATTGAGAAGAATGTCTTGTTTGAAAAATATCAACAGCCCTTCATTCAGCTTAAAACAGAATAAACAGTAATTCTGTTTTAACGTATACGATGAATGCTGGACTGTTTGTGTTATTATACAGTTCAAACGTCATGAGAACCTTTGAGCTTCAAATACCACCGCTACCAAACTAGTTATCAATGAAAAAAAGCTAATCAAGACTGATACTTTTTCTCGACATTACAAGTTCACTCACAATGATGTCGACTCTCAATCTTAGTCGAATTTTTTTTTTTTTTTAAGCTGATTGACTTTCGTCAATTGATCTATAAAGTCCTGGATATTCAACTTCAACTGATTTTCACCAGAATCCAGCCTTGAGATAATCCTAATACTATGTTCTCATCAGTCATCACCATAGCCTTTATTATTCTTACCTACATGGGATTTATAAAAGCGGCCATGAAGAAGATAAAATTCACACCCGAATTGAAAAAACAAAGAAACAGAATATTCAACTCCCCCGCTAGCGTAAAAGTTGAAGCTAAAGACCGAGGATCGCTATTATTTGTCGAGTTTTCACTAACGCTTTTGTACTTTCAAATTCTATACACGTACCGCGCTTTTCGCTGGTTTCTAATATCCAGATTGTTAATAAGCCTGAGTTTCCGACTCGTGTCCTTGTGGCTTTAACAGTATTGTTTAATTTCAGGATACGTTCCAACTCAACACACCTGGAGGTGGCGGTTACGGATTGCCGGATTTGTCGCGACTAACAGATGAACCCTCGACTCAGGATAATAGGAAAAAAGTTTTTGTCGAAAGAGGAAGCGTTTTCGAATATAGAATGGCACAAGAAGGAGCTTGAGATAAGATGCACTACTTCGGAATTGAAAAATATTTCACGCCGAACCAGCAGCTTGATACACACTTTATTGAACGTATATTATATTTTAGTCGCAAATAAAACCAATAAAAAGTAGTCGTTTATCTATAATATATAAAATTCCAATAATAAATTCACGTATCCCTATCTTATCCCTGGTCCATTTCCTTCTGCGCTAGCAAACTCAATTATTGCGGGCGACTGGGATGCAAGACTATTTTCACCTTAGCACTTGGAGGTCATTAATCTTGGGTAAAAAGCGATGTTTGTTCGCTCATGCTAAAATTCGACGAAAGATAAGGTATTATGCAGTTCCGGTTCGAGATAGGACTGATGAGGTCCGCCCTGCCACAGCCTCGCTTTGTCCCAGAGCGAATGGTTTCGTTGCCTTACAAGGTGCAAACAGCCCATTATTTATAATTTGGACGTTACGGTGCTATGTACTGATTTTCAATGAGCAGCTGGGACATAAATATTCTAGGTTCATACATTTGAATGTTATGTGTATATTAATCTGAATTATGCAACTGAGTACAATCCTATGCAATATTATCCTGATTTTAAAGAGGAGCCAAAAGCCAAACATCTAATTTAGTCATCATATCTGTGACGTGTGGTTTTTGACCAGCTTAATATTTTAAAAATTATGGATCCTTTGGTTAAGGCATTTTACACTTGTGACAGAGATATAGGCAGTCTCAGAAAAGCCACTGACAATATTATATTTCTCACTACTAATTTTATGTAATAAAGTGTGTGTCATGACCTTCAGACAGTTGTATTTCTTACTGCTAATTTTATATAATAAAGTGTGCGTCATGACCCTCAGAAAGCTGAAACAATGAGCGCAGCAAATATTTCTGTTAACTTTATCAGTAACTTAAATGTTAATTCATGTGAGGTGGTCTTTACTTATTTTTATTCTTCAAACATTATCTTCTGTACCTTGCTTGTAACATGGTATCTTTTGGATGGAGTTAAAATTATTAAAATCAAAACATAAGGTGTCTATGCTTATCAGTTTGAGCAATTAAATTTAAAAAAAGTATCTACTACTTGGTGTAAAAAATACATGTCCAACAAAACATTCCAAACAACTAATTTTAAAAATGACTCTTTAATCTTTGTCACTACACATATACCCTAATATACTTTTTGAGAAAAGTCTAACTCAATTTTTGTAAAGGCGCTAATAGGCTCTCAACTGAAATATTATGTCCTTCAAAAGTCGAAACTTGGAAAACATCGCAACGTGAAGTTACTAAACTTCTCCATAACCGTAAAGTTTTGTAACTCAACTTCGTTAATTTCGTGGACATTAATAGTGCAGAGATACGAGCAAGGTTATATTCAAAACTGTGAGCTAATAACGGAAAGTGATGCGGTGAGAAAGTGAAACTTCATTTTGAAGCCTAGTATTAAAATTTAGTCCTAGAATCTTCATATACTTATAATTGAAAAATACAGTGGATTTTCGCAGAACCTATTTAAAGTTTACTATACAGTTCGATTGCAGTTGTCAGGTTATTGATAGATTGTGGCTCAATATAAAGATTTTTTTATCCAAACGCTAGTCCTGCATTTGGAAAATCTCTTGATGTTCGAGGACGCTATGGAAGCTTTAGTGCTTTAGTGAAATTACTAGTATGGAAATAGTCCAGAAACTCTCTTAAATTTTTTTCCTTATGTTTTTGAAAACATTTTCGCTTGATGATTAGTAGTTGACTAAGCAAATTGTAAAATATATCGGTGATTTTTTTGGAGAGAAAAATTTAATAATGAAGAACTAACTGGTCGCCATGAATATAACTCCATTTTTTCAAAAACTTGTCAAGAAGGCATGCATTTGTAGTTTGCTAATAGAAAAAAGAAAATTCGCATTTATTTCTAGGAAGGCTCTTCTTTTTTTTTTGTCTTGTCCAAATGACATTCATCTTTGTGGTTGGGAAAAATTTATGTAAATTTTATGTTCCAATATTTATCTTAGGACATATTCTGGATTCTCAGGTCCCGGTAGAGTTTGTGGTGATCATGCATGTCGGATCTTTAAGTGGGAGGTGATTCTTAGCTACTTCAGATTTGTTTTCCGGCAGGGCTGAGTTGTGAGAATCCCTAATCAAGGGATTGTTTTGGTTCTGCATCATAGCGTTCAGTTATTGCTGAAAGGCGTTAATCTGTCAAATTGGTGATGGAATCATTGAGCAACCCTGGTAAGATGTCGGGTGCAGTCCGCCGCAGTTTGCACGGGTGACAGCTGCCTTCTTGAGTTTGGCGCAAGTCGAAGAGTGGTGGTCACCGGCGCATTTGACGCATTTGGGTAAGACTTGGCACTTGTTCTGGGAATGTCTTCATAATTGGCATCTGTGGCACTGAGTGGATCGCTCAGTACCGCGTTGAGTTTCGACTCTCACTCTAATGTGGTTGATGAACTTAAGTTTAAAGATGTTTATCTCCACGATTGGCAGGATTACCAGTACCAGTATACCAGTTTACTGGTATACCACCAGTTGTACCATATCATGACAGACGTCGGGTGGAAGTTTTCGCTGTTTAGCTCTTCTTTGATGAGCTCGGCCGTCTTCTAAGGGTTCACGGGTAAATACCCTCAGTTTTTTCTCTTCTGCGAACGAGAAGGAATGGAATGGATCTCCGTTCTATAAAAATGCGCCGCCACTGGTGAGGTCTGCCATTGCCGTCGCCACTGTGATCCACGTCATCGGTCTACGTTAGGTTGATGGAAAAAAATAAGGGGGGAGGGCGGCAAGGTTTTCGTTAGAGGGTTGCTAGGCGAAGAGTAGCGGTTGTTAATATATTGTTGATCATGTTGATTGTTGATTAATTACGAATAATTGGCTACGTTCACCAGAACCAAAACGGATTGTAAACAGCTCACAAATACCAACAGAACATGTTGGATAAACTCTTGGTTCTGCTGAACGATTCAACTTTTCAATGATAGAACGTCACCTTCTGAATGACAGGTCCCCACACAAAACATAGTGTTGAAAATTATAAACACTCTGAAATTATGCAAAACATGTTTGGTTTTAACACAAATTCAACGTAGCGTTCAGCAGAACAATCGCAAACCGTTTACCAACGTTTGTATCTGGTGAACGCGGCCATTATTATTATATACTTCAGGTTCAAAATTGGTATAAATTCTTATTAGAAGCAGCGGTAGGATTCACCCACAAAACCGGTGAAAAGTAGTGCCGTTCCTTTAGTGAGTGTTTGGGTTTCCACTGGCTAATGTATAGGTGGGTTTAGTTAGTGTACAAAACTAAGCTTATTTCTTTTATGCATTTAGTGAAAGTTGAAGCTTAATAGCAATAATAGCATAAAATTGACGTTATAATCCTAAGGGCCATATTCTCCGTAGTTCATAAAGCCTGGCTTAGAGGAAAAAATCGGCTTTGTCACACAAAAATCTAAGCGTTTCCACTAAGCCAGGCTTTATGAACTTCGGAGAATATGGCCCTAAATAACGTATAAGTTAGTTTGTTAGGTGACGGTAATAGTAGTTGTACGTTTGGTTAACGCATAAACTAGACTGTTTTCGCAGAATAAAGTTACGCAGCATAAGTACACTGAAAGAAAAAGTGCACAATTTTAATAAAAATTAACACAAAATAGCGAATATGCCGCGCAAATCGTCATCATCTACTGATTCTGATGAATCCTCTAGATCTGAGGACGAGAGTAACTATAAACGTATTAAATTCCAAGTTATAGTTGAAAATAGGTCCAGATCATTGTGAAAAGCTCGATCGAAAACGCCACCAAGTAAATCAGATGGGAGGCATCCACTTCTAAGGGCTGGTTTATTCACCTTCTGATAAACTGTCAGGTATGCAATCTGACGGATAAAAGCACAATCTGTAACCTCAATGTCAGCTAAATATCCGCCGACCAATAGAATTATAGAACTATTAATTTATCTTGCAGATACTTACCAGCAAGTTTATCTGAAGATGAATAAACCGGGCCTAAAGACGATAACTCCCAAGATAGAATAATTCGATTAGAATCCTTGGTTGAAAAGCTTATAGAGCATAATGTTGCACAAAAACCAGCGTCAGCGAAAGCCAGATTGTATTCCAGAGTTTAACCCTGGAGATTCTATTTAAGGTTTAAAGTCAGGCCTGTAGTTCATTACAGCAACGCGATATGTCAATGCTGTCGCTCCTATAGTGTGCCCTAACTTGACTGTCAAAAAAAAAATAGAAATCTGCATTTGGTTAAATTATGTGATGGAACGTTTTTTCTTTTTTTGGCGGAAATTCGAAATATTATTCTGTTTTACATAAACAGGGTTGTAGTTTGGACCAACGCAAATAATTTTGAACGTTCATCCGTCAAATTTTTTTCTAAACAGTGTAGCTACGGGCGTATTTCCAACTATTTTTGCAATAGCGAGAAAACTACAAGTTCAAAAAACTTGAAAAAAATATATGTCGCGTAGAATTGCAATAGTAGTTCGTAATAAAAATAATGGGAAACTTCATCTATTCGTTTTGAAATAAATGGTGAAAAACTACTTTTTTTTCAGTTTTTGCGATATAATTCAAAAATGGCGAGTCAAATTTGCTTAAAAAAATTATGTTTTAAAGTATATCGATAACCTAAAACATATATTTTTTTTTTGAATTTTTGAACACAAGGTTCAGAAAATAGGGGTTGACTTTAAACCTTAAAGCTGTTCCAAGTGGCTTGAAAAAGTCGAACAACTTGCAAAAATAAATAACTAGGTTGATAATATCAAGTCCTTAAATATGCAACGTACTTAGCGCTCTTGCCAAGAATGGTACGAACAAATTCCCATCTATGATTTTACCTGGGAAGAATGGAAATGCCTATTGCTAAAATCGTTCCCCGAACATCAGGATTTTGCTACAGCTCTAAGGGAAATGTTGAGTAGGTACAAGAAACCAAACGAAACTTGGGAAGAATATTATTTTGGCAAAATGAAGTTGATCAGTGCTTGCGATATTTACATAAAGAATACTTGTTTTAATTTCGTGGGTTAGAGGACAGGACCAAAAAAGAAACTATCAAGCTTTTGGCAACGTTTCGGAATATATTTTTCCTTTTT